GAAATTTTGATCTTTTCATGACGGTATTTCAGTGCATATTTCTATTACTTCATCTATTTGTTACAATAAAAAATGTGACGAAAATGGGTCCTTTCAAGAGTGCTTCATCAGGTACTGATTGGTTTATCAATTAATGGTTTATTATTTTTATTAGTTATCAGTGTCAGTGGTAGGTATTAGAATAGTTTCGACATTATATCTATAATGTTAACTATCAATAATAAGTTATTTTTATACATATATCCATTCATACCTAAGTTTTTCAAAAGCTTTTCAAAGTTCATAGCTGAATATAAATGCACTGATCCCATGAATTGCCTCATAAGGAGCATATTCGCCATAGTAGCCACACTTGGCAGGAGAATTGGTAGATGGAATGGCGTATTTGAAACCACGACCTCTTGAGTTCGTGGTCCGTAAAGTAATTAAGCGACACTAGCCTAATGGCCGGGGCCATTAGGCTAGTGTCGCTTAATTACTTTAAAGCACCCATGGTCTTCTTCTTCTTTACTTTAGGGCGTTAATGGGAGTGAACAACAAAGTAAATAAAATTTTATCTTTTATAATTATTATTTTCAGCATTTTTTTTTCAATTATCTAGTTGTTATTGGCAACACGTTGCTGCCCATCAATTGATTTCGGATGATATGCTGTACGGATATCTCTTACGACACCCATCGGATGATATGGTGTAGCAGATAATCTTACGACACCCATCGGATGATATGGTGTAGCGGATATTCTTACGACACCCATCGGATGATATGGTGTAGCGGATATTCTTACGATACCCATCGGATGATATGGTGTAGCGGATATTCTTACGACACCCATCGGATGATATGGTGTAGCGGATATTCTTACGACACCCATCGGATGATATGGTGTAGCGGATATTCTTACGACACCCATCGGATGATATGGGGTAGCGGATATTCTTACGACACCCATCGGATGATATGGTGTAGCGGATATTCTTACGACACCCATCGGATGATATGGTGTAGCGAATATTCTTACGACACCCATCGGATGATATGGTGTAGCGGATATTCTTACGACACCCATCGCATGATATGGTGTAGCGGATATTCTTACGACACCCATCGGATGATATGGGGTAGCGGGTATTCTTACGACACCCATCGGATGATATGGTGTCGCGGATATTCTTACGACATCCATCGGATGATATGGTGTAGCGGATATTCTTACGACACCCATCGGATGATATGGTGTAGCGGATATTCTTACGACACCCATCGGATGATATGGTGTAGCGAATATTCTTACGACACCCATCGGATGATATGGTGTAGCGGATATTCTTACGACACCCATCGGATGATATGGTGTAGCGGATATTCTTACGACACCCATCGGATGATATGGTGTAACGGATATTCTTACGACACCAATCGGGTGATATGGTGTCGCGGATATTCTTACGACACCCATCGGATGATATGGTGTAGCGGATATTCTTACGACACCCATCGGATGATATGGGGTAGCGGATATTCTTACGACACCCATCGGATGATATGGTGTAGCGGATATTCTTACGACACCCATCGGATGATATGGGGTAGCGGATATTCTTACGACACCCATCGGATGATATGGTGTAGCGGATATTCTTACGACACCCATCGGATGATATGGGGTAGCGGATATTCTTACGGCACCCATCGGATGATATGGTGTAGCGGATATTCTTACGACACCCATCGGATGATATGGGGTAGCGGTTTTTCTTACGACACCCATCGGATGATATGGTGTAGCGGATATTCTTACGACACCCATCGGATGATATGGTGTAGCGGATATTCTTACGACACCCATCGGATGATATGGTGTAGCGGATATTCTTACGACACCCATCGGATGATATGGGGTAGCGGATATTCTTACGACACCCATCGGATGATATGGTGTAGCGGATATTCTTACGACACCCATCGGATGATATGGGGTAGCGGATATTCTTACGACACCCATCGGATGATATGGTGTAGCGGATATTCTTACGACACTCATCGGATGATATGGTGTAGCGGATATTCTTACGACACCCATCGGATGATATGGTGTAGCGGATATTCTTACGACACCCATCGGATGATATGGGGTAGCGGATATTCTTACGACACCCATCGTATGATATGGTGTAGCGGATATTCTTACGACACCCATCGGATGATATGGTGTAGCGGATATTCTTACGACACCCATCGGATGATATGGGGTAGCGGATATTCTTACGACACCCATCGAATGATATGGGGTAGCGGATATTCTTACGACACCCATCGGATGATATGGTGTAGCGGATATTCTTACGACACCCATCGGATGATATGGTGTAGCGGATATTCTTACGACACCCATCGGATGATATGGTGTAGCGGATATTCTTACGACACCCATCGGATGATATGGTGTAGCGGATATTCTTACGACACCCATCGGATGATATGGTGTAGCGAATATTCTTACGACACCCATCGGATGATATGGGGTAGCGGATATTCTTACGACACCCATCGGATGATATGGTGTAGCGGATATTCTTACGACACCCATCGGATGATATGGGGTGGCGGATATTCTTACGACACCCATCGGATGATATGGTGTAGCGGATATTCTTACGACACCCATCGGATGATATGGGGTAGCGGATATTCTTACGACACCCATCGGATGATATGGTGTAGCGGATATTCTTACGACACCCATCGGATGATATGGGGTAGCGGATATTCTTACGACACCCATCGGATTATATGGTGTAGCGGATATTCTTACGACACCCATCGGATGATATGGTGTAGCGGATATTCTTACGACACCCATCGGATGATATGGTGTAGCGGATATTCTTACGACACCCATCGGATGATATGGTGTAGCGGATATTCTTACGACACCCATCGGATGATATGGGGTAGCGGATATTCTTACGACACCCATCGGATGATATGGTGTAGCGGATATTCTTACGACACCCATCGGATGATATGGGGTAGCGGATATTCTTACGACACCCATCGGATGATATGGTGTAGCGGATATTCTTACGACACCCATCGGATGATATGGTGTAGCGGATATTCTTACGACACCCATCGGATGATATGGGGTAGCGGATATTCTTACGACACCCATCGGATGATATGGTGTAGCGGATATTCTTACGACACCCATCGGATGATATGGGGTAGCGGATATTCTTACGACACCCATCGGATGATATGGGGTAGCGGATATTCTTACGACACCCATCGGATGATATGGTGTAGCGGATATTCTTACGACACCCATCGGATGATATGGTGTAGCGGATATTCTTACGACACCCATCGGATGATATGGTGTAGCGGATATTCTTACGACACCCATCGGATGATATGGTGTAGCGGATATTCTTACGACACCCATCGGATGATATGGTGTAGTGGATATTCTTACGACACCCATCGGATGATATGGTGTAGCGGATATTCTTACGACACCCATCGGATGATATGGGGTAGCGGATATTCTTACGACACCCATCGGATGATATGGAGTAGCGGATATTCTTACGACACCCATCGGATGATATGGTGTAGCGGATATTCTTACGACACCCATCGGATGATATGGTGTAGCGGATATTCTTACGACACCCATCGGATGATATGGTGTAGCGGATATTCTTACGACACCCATCGGATGATATGGTGTAGCGGATATTCTTACGACACCCATCGGATGATATGGTGTAGCGGATATTCTTACGACACCCATCGGATGATATGGGGTAGCGGATATTCTTACGACACCCATCGGATGATATGGGGTAGCGGGTATTCTTACGACACCCATCGGATGATATGGGGTAGCGGATATTCTTACGACACCCATCGGATGATATGATGTAGTGGATATTCTTACGACACCCATCGGATGATATGGTGTAGCGGATATTCTTACGACACCCATCGGATGATATGGTGTAGCGGATATTCTTACGACACCCATCGGATGATATGGTGTAGCGGATATTCTTACGACACGCATCGGATGATATGGTGTAGCGGATATTCTTACGACACCCATCGGATGATATGTGTAGCGGATATTCTTACGACACCCATCGGATGATATGGGGTAGCGGATATTCTTACGACACCCATCGGATGATATGGGGTAGCGGATATTCTTACGACACCCATCGGATGATATGGTGTAGCGGATATTCTTACGACACCCATCGGATGATATGGGGTAGCGGATATTCTTACGACACCGATCGGAAATTTCACTCTGGTGATGGGGATCAGAATTACCCATGCGAAGGCATCGACTCTGAGCTCACCAAACTTAGGCGGGTTGAGAATGAGCAAATCTTTATTTTTTACTTAGTAGAGTAATACTTCAACTACATTATGCTTGTATCACGGATAGGTCGTCCCCACCGCGAGAGGATCACGCTCTTACAGAATTGTTGTAAGGTGACTGTAGAGAAGACTCTTTTTGTTGGAAACGTGGCATATTACATCCAGGGGTAACAACGCATCTGCATTTTAATCCTTAATCGTAGATAGATGTAGATGTGTGTGGGCCATAGCATCCACGTACCATCAGGTGGACTGTGTGCTCGTTTATCATACTTATCAATAAAAACGAAACTTCCATGTAATATATGTCAAGTGGTGCATTCTCGGAAAGGTTTATTTCTAGCAGTAGATAAAAGAAAGCTTTTTTGATTATATTGATAATGAAGAAAGGTATTGATAAGCAAGCAAGCATTTCACCTATAAATCATATACCTCAGTGTGGTCAGGTAAACGTGATTGCTATTTGCTATTTGAACGAGGTTGATATTTGTTATAAATATTGCGGCTTTAGTCGCCGCCAGATGTTGTCTAAGTCTGGGGTATATAAAAGATGATTTAAGCAAAAGAAAACATAATTATAATACAATATACGATAGTTATAATACTTACAATATCACTAAAATGTAAGTGCTCAGCGACCCAGTCCCGTCCCTCACGGAACTCATCCATGAGACCCATCAGGTACAACGTGTCCAGGCCATCGACAATCGTAGCCCCGAGATCGCCGGCACCGAACACACTGGATAAATGAGCTCGCTTCGAGATCGGCTTCAGTTCATTTTTGCCCCACGCGTAAAGCTTGTAATTGTTCCACGCATGTCGCATCATCTGAAAATAAAAACAATTTATTAGCTTACAATATAAAGCCAGTCATATTCGATTAGGGTTTTAAGGTCAGGCTAAGTCTTAATGCACAACCTACATACGACACACAGCTGGGCACATGCCCCCCTCATTTCTGTGAGGGCTTTAAGGCATGAAGTGTCCGCCGCGCTGGTGAACTTACATATCTTGAAATATTTCTTATACTCTTCAAATACTTTTTTCTTATTTCTCAGAAATGCACGTTTCTTCACGAAGTTTCCTTCACTACTGAGCAAGTGGTAAATCAGCACTGAAAATTGCAATTAACAATTTCATTGGTGGCGGCGGGGATCGTACCCCGGTTGCTCGCGTACTGTGAAATTTACAGGGAGCGCTAACTATCTGACCACCGCTCAAGAGTAAGGTTACCAATGTAAGTCTAAGAAGCTGGAATTATGAAAGGTTTGCTTAGGAATTAGATGCCTTAATTCCTTTCTCTCTTCTAGCGTCGGCCAACGAGAATATAGGGGTTTTTTTTTTGAAAAAAAAAAATATAGGCGGCTCTACATCGACATACACCGTATGGACAAAAGGTCGAACCAAACGGTTTACTTCGTTGTTCGTATTATGTACAGGAAAGGAGTGGAATAATTTGTCAGCATGTTTTTCGATCTAATTACAAATACATATATATGTATTTATTTTGTGTGATACGATCTGGAGTGAATGGATCCTCGTTCTGGGTGGTTTTGGCACGCGACCCCTGCTAGATGGAAAGAGGTTCAAATGAAACATGCAGTATTCCTATATTATTAATTAAATTAACTAGGAAAAATTTCAGATTAAAATCAATAATGGGAAAACAAATAAACTGCAGCAAAAGTTCTTTTCTTATTAAAACATACTTTCAAAGGGGCGCGGTTACATTTTACCTCAAAGGCATATTAAAAAAGCTGGCTTTTAAAAGAGTCCCAGTGAGTGGTTCGCCTGGGGTAAAAGTTATAATCTCGAGCGCTCTGTGGGGAGGGAACACTAATGAAAGTATATCGGACTTTAGACCATTAATTATTAGGCTGCGACAACTTTCAGACAAGTGCGCCAGTGTCTTGCAAAATTTAGGATACTTACTAGTTGCAATATCATGGATTAGTAAATTTAGCTATTATAGTTTGGTTAAAGAGATCAATTACTATTTTTGATTCAACATTATAATATTTGTTAAATAATTTCTAGGTTTAGACGGGACAGTGCAGTGTGCACAAAAGAGTAAATAAAACAATTTTTTTTATAAAATAAGGGTGATAAAAAGCACGCAGTCCACCTGATGGTAAGTGGATGTTGTGGCCTATAGAAATTTAACCTCGATTAAGAATCAAAATGCAGATGTGCTGTCATCCCTGAGGGATGGAATGCCTCGATGCCAGTAAAACGGGTCTCTGGTTCTCTACACTCACCGTACGAAATACAGCAGCATTAAGCTGCTATTTTACGCTGGCACTCTGTGAGAGCGTGGTCTTTACCCGGTCGAGCCGATCCATTCATGCTACATCCATTCTACAGCTGCAGCGTGGTTCCATCACGTGTAAAGTTACTAGTTTTAGATTTTTTATTTTTTCGTAAACACTACTACACATTCAAGTAGATTATAGTTATTTCAAACAGATAATAGATTTTACGATTTTATGGCGTATATTAACTTATTTTATAGTCTCGACGTTTCGAGCACTTTACAGTACCAATGGTCCGGGGGGTGGGGGGAGTGGACTGTGTTCAACGTTTAATTTTATTGATTATAGGATCCCAAGCAGATGGTAGCACCCAGCCATCTTTTCTATTGAAATTAGGATGTTGTTTGATTTCAATGACAACGCGCGAAATTATTGACCTTGGCCACTAACAAAAATAAGCGACTAACTGCCAATCAAATAATTTCTTACATTTACGCGAATACATGGAATCAAACTTATTTTACGGATTTTTTCACATTTAATTTTAACCGCAGCCATCTTCTGTATTGAAATTAGGATGTTTTTGATTTCAATAGCCTCATGAATCATCCTTTTAAGGAATCGGTGTTCTTTAGTGAGGATTTGGGGTGTATTAAATTGATGATGATGTAGTGACGGGAGGTGATTCTGTACGTGTTCACAGACTGCAGACTTCCCGGAGCGTAAAGTGAGCGGAATGTGAAGAATCGACGCTCCAGGAAGTCTGCAGTCTACGCGATAAAATCCATAAAATCTAGAATAAACCAAACGGTACAAAGTTATCTAAAAATAAAGTAACGGAATCACTGAATTTGATTGGGGCAAGACAACGGACTTATATTAAATTTATTCTGCCATGCAGATTTACAGTTAAAATCTTTACTTGTTTATCTGACATAGTTTAAAAATTTGAATAGAAATAACATTATTAGAAATAGGTTTCACTAATTCTTTTACGTGCCTAATTTTAACTAAACTAAGATATTTCCTTATCCCTAACTATCCAATGGTATGTTAAGAAATATGATAGAGATCTTAATGTTATGTCAGAAAAGCGGTCATAATACTTTGCGCAGACAAGTACTCTGAACATTTATTCACGCGGCCGTGTGGAATCAGTTCTACATACTCCTACGTCACATCTGTAATACCCGAGTGGGAAGGCAGAATGAAAAGAGCTAGGACCACGCTTTGCCAAAAAATATGAGTGTAAATGGAAATTGTGAACGAAATGATAAGTGACTAGCCCACACAATACACATCACACTCTCACAAATGCCTAATTACACAGTCACAAACACAGTATTTCATTAGTTCCATTTACAATAAGCTAAGCAAGTAACACAATTGGTCTTTTTCGTTATATGTCCCAATATATACATTGGACCTGGTAAACCTGGACCTGGAAGCTTCATTTTGCTCTATTATTATAACGCTTTATTATAAAAAAATAAATAAATAATAGAACGGGTATTAGGTTAATTAACAAAATCCAAAACGTACATAATATGGTATTTACAACATTACTCTGGACCCCGATTATTGGTACCTTATTGTTTAATATTGACATCGGGAGGATTAATGCCCAAATTTTTTTATATATAATAAGAGTGACAAACGAGCACACAGACCACCTGATGGTAAGTGGATGCTATGACCCATAGACATCTATCTACATCTATCCTCGATTAAAAATCATAACGCAGCTGCGTCGTCACCCCTGAGGACTAAGATGGAATGCATCGTTTCCAGTAAATATGGGTCTCCGGGTCTCTACACTCACCATACGAAACACAGCAACATTTAGCTGCTATTTTACGTTGGTATTCTGTAAGAGCGTGGTCTTTCCCCGGTCGAGCCGACCCATTCGTGCTACAACCAGCTACAGCTGCAGCGTGGCTCTACCACGTATAATTTTAATTAGTTATTTAGGCCGCCCCTCATTTCTGAGAGGGTTTAGGGCAAGGAAGTGTACGCCGCGCTGCCCAAATGCGTGTTGACGAACTTCACAAGTCTTCGAAATATTTTTTTTCTTATTCCTCAGACATGCAGGTTTCCTCACGATGTTTTCCTCCACCGCCGAGCACGTGGTAAATCAGCACTTAAAATTGCAATTAACAATTTCACTCTTTTCGTTTATGTATTGGTTACAATAAATACCAGTGAAAGCAAACATATTTTACTAATTATGTACAAATTTCAGCAGTTCATTAAAAATTATTTTTAACATTTCTTAGCCGTGCTTTTTAAGAGACGGTTCTAGATAAGTAAATTGGTTTTATTGACGATTAATAGAGATTTTGCTTCGAGTTTTCAGTAAGTGAAAGATAAATACTGAGATAAATCCGTAAAATACCTTTTACTAAATGTGTGTAGTGTAGTATTCACGTAAATATAACTGTTTTTAAATATTACTTCTCAGACCAACATGTTAGTACGTAGTACTATTGTTTATACTGTGATATTGGGTACTGTACAAAATATGTACTTCTTTATTGTTCTGAGTACTTCTTTTGAATAGTAACAAAAGTAAGTTGCATTTGATCAGTGTAATACTCAGACTATATATCTGAGGTAAATTGGTTAATAATGCTTATTTACTATTAAAACATTTAAATGTTCAAGAATTTACATTTGTTTATGAGGGATAGCGAATTTTTAAGGTATTTCGTAGGTAAGGCAAGTAAGAACAAATCGGTCACTAAATACGGCCACTACCGACATCATATATTATATTTTTTTAAAAGAACTCTAGTAATGCCTCTAACATTACTGATTACCAGTCAACTACTCAAAGTGTGTTAGGAGGGGTTTTCGACAGTAGTTGGATTCTTACCAACTTACCATTAGGCTACTGTCGATATGTGTTTTACTTATGACAATATCGAAATAGTTTTGATGAATTTTATATGTATGTACATATATAGGTAAGTACTCTTTAACTATGACAGCTAGATTTTTGTAATCAAATTAAGTTTGATTGAACTAAGTTACCAACAAAACTTATAAAAGACTAGCTGTGCCCGCGACTTCGTTCGCATAGAATAATTTAGTAATTTATTTCTTTCCTATTTGAATTTGATTTTGTTTAATTTCATGGATTTAAATTTTTTTACACGGAACCCTAATTTTTTTTTAAACTAAAAGTTACTCCTTAGAACATCAACTACCTGCCTGTGAAAGTCCCGTCGCTGCAGCGCTTTCGGAGATTCGCCGGAACAAACAGATGGACAGACAAAATGTTTATAATAGTTTTTTGTTATATAAGTATCGTATATACTTTTATATGTATTTAGTTAAATTCTGTTATTTTAACAT